GTTGCAGAACCAACCACAGCATGTTTTAACTGGTTGTGATTTCACGAGACAATTTTGAGTTTAGTCGTTTGCCAGTGCTAACTCAACGGTCGGCTCTCGATATCATTGTCGAAACTAACACAAAGCGGTATGTAGCCAAAATGCCCGCAGTTGGGTTCGAACCCGACACTTCGAAATTACGAAGCAGGTTCACAAAGTCACAGCGCCAGACGAAGCAGATATTTAAAAAAGTTTTTTTTAAAAAAAACCCAGGTAACGAACGCAGTGAACCGGTTTGAAACGGAAGCTTCTCAGATAAATGGCTGACCCGGTGGCCTCACGAAAAAGGTGGCACACACACACCCCCACCCACCTGTACGCGAACTTTACCTTTCAGTGGAGGTAAATAACAGGAGAGCAAGTATGTGACACACACTGTGACCGTGTAGCCATGTCGTCTGCTTTCATCTAAATGTGACACAATGGCGTGCGGGATACAGTTTCAGTTATCGGTCCCAAAATCTGTTAGCAGTTTCAAGTAAAAATCAGGAAGTAACATAAAGTGTGCTACTTTCAAGAGCTGGTAAACTGTTTACATTATATGTTATAAGAGTTATTATAACTTTTAATATAATTTACTACAGTTCGGGTAGGTGCATTTCAAGTAATGGGGTATGGTGTGTTTAGCAGTCGGGTACGTGTCCTAATTAACCCATTTTATGCCCTTGTAATCTGTAAAGATGTATACCTTGAAAGCTACAATTAATGAGAATGATTAACGTCTATAGTGCCTATAGGAAATAATATAATAATTTCACCACTGTGGGACACTTCTACTTCTTATTCTTCAGTCGTCTTACTGATACCATGTTGTGTTTTTCTATATTTTTCTTGCGCTTCTAGGGCATGAGTGATGAAGTTGATTATTTTTCGGGTTTCAGCTGCACCATTTACCCATTTCTTTCTTGGTCTCCCCTTCTTCTTCTCCCCAGATGTTATCGCATGGGCAGGTAGGTCTGGCTGCATCATAGACACTGTGTTGCTTACATTATCTAAAAACTAATTGTATACTATCTATTGTTATCACAACCAAAAAAAAAAAAAAAAAATATTTCGAATAATACTAATACACGCTGCATAAATGATTGATAGAAATGAAAATACGATTTATAAAACAGTAAAGATATACTCCGAAATGTAAATGAACACTTTATATACCAATTATAACCCGTAGAGCCGAACGTGATAATTTTAATGCGAAAAATAACTACTGTTAATTATCCCGACACATACGAGGAAAATAATACGTTTTCCCCGTGTGGGTTCCGGGGCCCTGTTATAAGGAAAACAAGAATAGACTTACTGCCTACCAAAAAGCATGTCATAGTCGACTAATTGGGAGCTTCCTTTAAATTCGGAGTGCATCTGCATGAGAGACAATGAACCAACAGTCTACATACAAATTAGTCAGATCTATCAAACGAATGCACAGGCAACACTCAAGTTCTGGAACAGGACTGCAGTCCAGAAGTGGACGAACAGCCAGAACTTTCCGCTAGAGTTTACAGCTGGTGAACGAGAAGAAGGAGATTCGTTACCCGGCCGATTGATGTGTCAGTCGGTTAGGGTTAATTGTTATTTTAAAATAATAACTATCGGAGATAATGCAAGTCCAGAGTAACAATTTTCACACAGGAGCTGAAAAGTTGAAATAGGATGGTTGGGGGGGGGGGGGGGGGGGGGGGGACCGGGGTGTAATAACAATATCAGTATTTGGCACTGATATGGGGACTGCGTGGTCTCAGGCATGGTGTCCGCCTCGAGTGCTAGAGGTTCTAGGTTCAATTCCCGATAAGGTCTGGGATTTTTTCACGTGGACTTGGACTTCTAGTAATTCACCCTGGTCTCTGGGTAGTGAGATCGGACGCCCGTGTGCATCGTTGCGTACGTAAAAAAATCTCTTGGCAGTTGGAAATCGAAAAGAGTAGCCTAACGGCGCCTAATCTGGAGTTAAAAATCTACCCAAAGTATTTATGGATCCTCGCCGGTGCGACAGAGCCTGTGCACTGGGCTGAGCTGCTTCGGACTCAGACTAGAGTTAGAAGAAGAACGGAGCACTTATGGGTTACTACCCGTGTGCTATGATGTTGATCCGTTGCTCAAACGTCAAACTAGCAGTAGTTTTCACACAAATAATATACTGTTCAGTCCCCAGGTTTAAAACTGAGATATCTAGTGTCAACTTTATTTTAAGATTTCTTTGTGCTCACGGTGTTTTCTTCCCCTAGGAGAAACAAACTGACAGTACTCACCACAGAGCGTCTTCGAAAGGTGCCAAAACTTTCCACAAAGGTCGTGGGTTCGAATCCAAGTAGAGCCACTCCCACCCTCCTCCAAGCTATTTAATTAGTAACTCAACTAGTTTCCAATGTGGGTGCTGAAACCCCATGGAGGAGGAAAGGGGGGGGGGTGCAATGGACCCACTGCTTCCCTAAAAAGCAAGTTGTAACAGGCGACTAGCTAGGTGTGTTTCCTCAAAAGTCGGGCTGCATCAGCTTGAAAGGCGAGGATGCAGACAACAGTCTGAGGATGCAGGCAACAGTCTGAGGATGCAGGCAACAGTCTGCGGATGCAGACAACAGTCTGCGGATGCAGACAACAGTCTGAGGATGCAGACAACAGTCTGAGGATGCAGACAACAGTCTGAGGATGCAGGCAACAGTCTGTGGATGCAGACAACAGTCTGAGGATGCAGACAACAGTCTGTGGATGCAGGCAACAGTCTGTGGATGCAGACAACAGTCTGAGGATGCAGGCAACAGTCTGTGGATGCAGACTTTCCTGAGGATGCAGAAACAGTCTGAGGATGCAGGCAACAGTCTGAGGATGCAGACAACAGTCTGAGGATGCAGGCAACAGTCTGAGGATGCAGGCAACAGTCTGCGGATGCAGGCAACAGTCTGTGGATGCAGACAACAGTCTGAGGATGCAGGCAACAGGTGCAGACAACAGTCTGAGGATTCAGACAACAGTCTGTGGATGCAGGCAACAGTCTGTGGATGCCAGACAACAGTCTCCTGCAGGCAACAGTCTGTGGATGCAGACAACAGTCTGAGGATGCAGACAACAGTCTGAGGATGCAGGCAACAGTCTGAGGATGCAGGCAACAGTCTGAGGATGCAGGCAACAGTCTGAGGATGCAGGCAACAGTCTGAGGATGCAGGCAACAGTCTGAGGATGCAGGCAACAGTCTGATGATGCAGACAACAGTCTGAGGATGCAGGCAACAGTCTGAGGATGCAGGCAACAGTCTGAGGATGCAGGCAACAGTCTGAGGATGCCTAAAAGTCTGAGGATGCAGACAACAGTCTGAGGATGCAGGCAACAGTCTGAGGATGCAGGCAACAGTCTGAGGATGCAGGCAACAGTCTGAGGATGCAGGCAACAGTCTGAGGATGCAGGCAACAGTCTGAGGATGCAGGCAACAGTCTGCACACGAATAAGCTACATCCTTAAAACTGATGTGCATGCAACATTCAAGCTCTGCAACACGACCAAAGTCCAGAAATTGACGAACAACCACAACTTTCCCCAGAGTTAAAGCCGGTGAACGCTAATGAAAAACGAGTTAACAAGATTGCTAGCTAGTTATTTATAAATTTGCTATCTAGTTATTGAGTTATTTAACCAGTTATCTAGTTATTAAATTGCTAGCAAATCGGGTAATTAACCATCTAGCTAGTTATTTTGTTGTTGTTAGCAAATTAGTTAATTAAACAGCTAGCTAGTTATTTATTTGTTAGCTAATGATGTAATTAACTAGCTAGCTATTTATTTATTTGCTTGCAAATTAGTTAATTAACCAGCTAGCTAGTTATCATTTGTTAGCAAATTAATTAATTAACCAGCTAGCTATTTATTTATTTGTTTGCAAATTAGTTAATTAACCAGCTAGCTAGTTATTTATTTGTTAGCTAGTATTTTTTTTTTTTTTTGCTAGCAAATTAGTTAATTAACCAGCTAGCTAGCTATTTTTTTTTTTTTTTTGGTAGCTAGTTAATTAAATTACCAGCTAGCTAGTTATTTATTTGCTAGCAAATTAGTTAATTAACCAGTTAGCTAATTATTTGTTTGCAAGCACATTAGTTAATTAACCAACTAGCTAGCTACTTAGTTACTAAAGACGTCTAGTGTCGAGCTGTGTGGCATCAAATCGCTCCTCACATCGCAGGTGTTTTCTTTTTGACGGCGAGCTTGTTAGTAGAAATTTAACTTTACGGCAATCGGGCCAGCTCATAAATTCCCTCGTACTTTTCCGACAAAAGCGACTAAAAATGTCTATCACTGTCCCTTGTGGAAAATAAATCGAAAATACTGCAGTCCTAGCAAAGCCAAAAGCATATTGACCTTAAATATGACCTTTCTCTTTTCCAGAAATATGATAACAACAAATAGAACAAGATCCTTAGATGTGTGATCGACGTCATAACACCGGAATCGATATTAATCTGTTTATGTTATCAAGGTGTATTTACCAAATGACATTGCCTAAATACACAGCCTCATGACAGTCGGTGTAGATAGGGCTGTAGCCATTATAATGCGGTTTCGTCACAACTCAAAATATATCAACCGTGGCCTTACCTTCATCCTACTCTCCCTGGTTCTTGCAGCGACAGTGCTAGTAGTACAGCTGTTTCTGGTCTATGACTCCTTACAATTGAAATCAAGCCAGACTGAAGTAAAACTTTTCCGATCCAGCTGGAACCAAAACTCAAGCCACGCGAAACCCTACGAGGATGTAGTCGGAGACCAAACACCAAGACTTGAGTCCGTACCCCCAATCAACAGATTCTCGGATCCAAAGTATGAGCAGCTGAAAATATATCACAAAAACACAGTCACACTCAGAGAGCAGTTTGACTGCAGGAAACTGTTTGAAAGCGACAAGCAAGAGCAGAAGCGAGTGGTTGCTTTCCATACGGAGAACGCCAACACGTACCCTGTTGTAGCTGACGAGAATGTTCGAGATATTACTGCAGACTGCGAGGCGTTCAAGACTATCAGAGGCTACCGGACAGATCAGGGGTGACGACGTTGAAAGACAATTTCCTTTGGCTTATGTGATTCTGGTTCACAAAGACTTTGAGCATCTCGAGCGATTGCTGCGGACTATTTATATGCCTCAGCACTCTATATGTATACATGTGGATAACAAAGTGCCAGGTGAGGTGTCTGCTGTGTTTACTCTTGTTTCTTCCATTTTCTGTCATAGCCAACACATTTCTCATTGGTACCTAAGTCTTCTTGCTTGTCTTTTTGCCCTCCCTGCAATAAATAGTTCAACCATGTAAGTGTGTGCTTTTGGAACTGTCGCAGTGCCAAACAGAGAAAGTCCATACTAGAGAGGTTAATTTACGACTTTGATGTAATCATGCTTCAAGAGCTGAATGCAGACATATATCATTGTCCTGAATGTGTCAGCTATGTAAACCCTGCTGGATATGGGCAATGTCTGCTAGTGAAGGAGGAATTGAAATATGTGGTGCTTGACCTGATTCGGTGGAATCATGATGCGACGGAGGTGCATGGAATACAAATGGAGATTGGTGGCCTAAGCTGGAACATAATGAGGCACCTGGGTGTAACTAGAGGGTCTGGCCGGCTCACTACACTTAGAGGAAAGGCAAGACGGACACATAACCAGATTGTGACCGGTACCATCAGTATTGGAACTCTGCGCTCACTGCTAAGATGAGGACGGAGCACGCATGGGAATGCCCCGAGTGTTGTGATGTAAATTCTTGACTCAACTCAACTCAACTCTCCCTGCAAGCGGTTTTCAGATGAACAGGCCACATACTTCTTTGAAGTCTAAGGTGCAAGACATATCTTCCACTAATCCATACGGCTGGGCTTCCATTGGAATGCCAACCGACCAAGTCTGTGATCCTTCTACTACATATTGAGAGTATGTCTGTAGCGCATGTTCAGCATTCAGTGGTAGCTGTCCACATGGGCACGGCTCTGAATTCCCCATATTAAATGTCTTGTTCATATGGCTGCAGAGTCTACGGTGTCCAGCACGCGGTCTAAATATAATGGTCTGTTTCTTTTATGTGAGGAGGTCTGTAAGTAACGAAAGAGCTCTTTTCACAACCTTTGCCCTGCCTGCATATTGCTCTAGACCATGATCTATAAAATTTTTCAGCCCCCGTCCCCTTTTGTATATGGCAAGATCCCATAACCCACTTGAGTATATGACAAGACCCCCACGCCCAACGCCCAGCATAACAAAATGTGATTAAATAAAGAATCGAAATAGATCCCCAACAAAAGAAACAGGCAGTATGAGATACGCTGTAGTCAGAATGTGATCTTAATCTATTAGTTAAATACTTGTGTTATCATAAAAATAATTAGAAGAAGAAATAGAAGAAGAAGAAGAAGAAGAAGAAGAAGAAAGAAGAAGAGAAGAAGAAGAAGAAGAAGAAGAAGAAGAAGAAGAAAAGAAGAAGATGATGAAGAAGAAGAAATCTGTCCGTTGGAGTAAACAAAGCAGACCGAAAGAGAGATCATGCTGCAAAGACAACACACGATTTCTACAGTACTGCTCATTCTTTGTCCTATAACTTAATCATATGTATAACACTAGCACCTCAAAAAAATTGAAAGGTGACAACTGTGTGTATCTCATGTATTTTCATTGCTTATGTGTGTGCCAGTCAACACTAGTGGAATGAATTATCAGACCAATATAACTTAACGGCATTCATGGCTTTCTTTGTTGTGAACACACTTCCTAATGACGGGGCTGCAGGATCTCGACTGTAATTTTGCTATAACATATGTTTTCTAAGTGCCCAGTCTCTTAAGCCTCAGGTGGCTGGGTCACACCTGGAGAATCCCCCTCTGGGTTTCGGGCCTGTTGTTTAGAAAACAAGAATAGACCCACTGCCCTCAAAAGCATGTCGTAAGAGTCTACTGATGTGGAGCTTCCTTCGAAGTCGGTGTACACATTCTTGAGCGGGAAGAAACGAACAGTCTGCATGCAAATGAGTCAGAACCGTAAACAGATGTACACGCAACACTCAGGTTCTGGAACAGGACTAGAGTCCAGAAGTGAACTAACAATCAGAACGTTCCGCTGGAGCTTACAGCTGGTGAAGGCGACGAAAAATAAGAAGACACCAGGAGAACGAGGGATAGCAGAGTGCTTAAGGACATCCTCTTTGGTGAATTACAGATGAGTCGAAGATGTCAAATCGGCCTCTACTACAATTTAAGGATGTGTGCCAACAGGACATGAATGATACAGGTATTGAGGTAGATTCGTGGGAACCAAATTCGAAGTATTGTCTTGAGGGAAAGGGGGGGGGGGGGGGGGGAGCGGGGTCAGGAAGAATAAATAGGGGGAGGGAACAATCGAAGATAAGCTGACAACTGAGAGTTAAGGAAGAAGCATGGTAAATAAATGTAATATATCAACAACGGTCCTGAAATCCCATGTTCTAATTGTGGAAGACATTTATAAACGATGGCGGGTCTTGCTAGTCACACTCGCCATCGTCATGGGTTGTGATTCCCGTGGGTTCTCATATCACAATATAACAATATCGTCTAGAAAAACTTAAAGATGCCACCAGCAGGAGGAGAAAACAATAGCCAACAATTGACGTTTGCCCTCAATTCCACAGACAGCCTGAAGCAGGCAGTGTCCAGTCTTGTCAGGTGTTTCCCCAATGTGGTGTTGGCCTCCAAGCCACAAGACATCATTTATGCTCACATGTCTCGTCTGCTAGCCGACGTCGTCTGCATGCAAGACCTTGTACACAAAGACAGGTCGTGGAGGTACAGTTTGAACTTAATTTGAATTGTATTGTTTCACTAGTTTTTTTTTTTAAAGAGGGAGGTGGGAAGGGGAGGGTCTATTTTTTTAAAATTTAGTTATTGTATGCTGAGGTGATAATTTGTTATTCATTGTTGTTTATCATTTGAATCATCTCTGTAATATCATCATAACATTCATCATCACCATCACCATCATAGCTGGCATCATAATCATCATTATTGTCGCCATTTTAGACCGTATCCTCCCCAACCTCCTCATCATCAGCGTCATCATCATCATTATTGTCGTCATCATCATCATCATCATAACACTATCACTACCACCTCCATCGTCGTCATCATCATCATCATAACACTATCACTACCACCTTCATCGTCGTTATCATCATCATCATCATAACACTATCACTACCACCTTCATCGTCGTTATCATCATCATCATCATAACACTATCACTACCACCTTCATCGTCGCCATCATCATCATCGTTGTCGTCGCCATCATCATTATCGTCGTTATCATCATCATCATCATCACCAATAATTATTTTATTGGATAACACTTGAGATGAAGCTTTGCTACCTCCTGTCTTCGGTAACTAGTTAAATGACTTTGAAGAAAAATTAGGAGTTTGCTGAAATCAGAAGGCACAGATATCGGAGCATAGCTGTAAACCACAATTAAAGTCCCAACAATAATTTTAAAAGTGAACATGGAAGAAGAAGAAGAAGAAGAAGAAGAAGAAGAAGAAGAAGAAGAAGAAGAAGAAGAAGAAGAAGAAGAAGAAGAAGAAGAAGAAGAAGAAGAAGAAGAAGAAGAAGAAGAAGAAGAAGAAGAAGAAGAAGAAACATCAGCAGCAGACGAAGAAAAATAAGAAGCGAAGTAGAAGACGACGACTAAGACGAAGCAACAACAGCAGTGGTAGGAGGAAGAGGGGAGGAGAAAGAAGATGTTGAAAAGGAGGAGAAAATAAAAAGAAGATGAAAAAGACTTGCTGTTCATGAATGCTTGTGTCTCTGCAGATATCTCATCAACTATGCAGCCACAGAGTTCCCGCTGAGGACAAACCTGGAGACCGTCAAGATCCTACAGGCACTGCATGGCCTCAACGACATCCACGAACAGTACGAGCGACGCCTGGAGCAGCGCTATAAGACTGTGAGTTGTTATACTGTTGTTGGTTGTGTTTGCAGGATGGAATAGAAGAGGAGAGAGTGAAAGAAAGAGAGAAGAAACAAAGAAAGAGAAAGAGATTGACAGACAGGATTAGCTGGTGTTGGTAATCTGTGTGTGTGCGTGTGTATGTATTTGGGAGTGAGTTTATCTCTTGTGTCTATTTAGTGGTGAGGGCTGAGTTGAGAACTGATATCAGGAAGGGTCATTCGCATAAGCACGTCGTCCTCATCTCCAGCAGGCAGCGATGAGTGTCTATGCCGATAGAGCCATTGGTAGTTTGATTACATGCCCGTCCTATCTTTCCTTCATGTGTAGAGAGAGAGTCGACCAGATCCCTGTGTGTGGAGTGTCTGTTTGGTGTTTTGTGTGTATGTGTGTGTGTGTGTGTGTGTGTGTGTGTGTGAGAGGGGAAATGCTGATTGTTGGTCATATGGGTGTGTGTAGGAATGAATATCTCGATTCTAAAGGTGTATGTGCAAGTATATATGTCTGTGTGTGTGTTTATGTGAGGCAAGTAGTTGCTTGTTTGTCGTCTCGGTGTCAGCACATGTGTGGGGAGCACAGTTAGCGCAAACGAGCTTATGTTTGTTTGTGTGTGTGTATCAGTGTTTGTGTGATGGAATTGATTATCTGAGTGTTAGTTGTATGTGTATTTGTGTTTTCATTGCTGAATGTAGTGGTTCACTGTGATAAATGCCACGTATTTGTCTTCAGAGCAGGGTATTTTAGACTGTTGTTAATGTTGTGGAGTTGAGAAAACCTGAGAATAATTTAACTAGAATGTCTTTGCACTGGAATCCACAGTGGCATAAAAATAAAGGCAGATCAAAAACACACGGAGAAGGGAGCTAAACAGGAAAGTAAAAAATATGAAGAGGGCATGGGGTGAGCTGCACATATTTTACTGCCCAGTGGGCACTCTGTGCTTGATCTGATCAGCGTCACAGGACTTTACCAGGTAGACTGGGTCGTCTTTGCTGCTAAGGTCAATAGTGAAAATAAATCCATCGAGCTTGTAGGTTTAAAGCAAAGACATTCGGCCCAGCAGACAAACATCAAGTTACCATGCTACTGCAGACCCCGGGAAGCTTATCGGGGCAATGTTTTATCTTAGCATCTACACCTTAGGACATATGCTGCGAGAGACGGAGCATCTGTGGTATGCGTGGTGTGCTGTGATGTCGATTCTCAAATCAGTAAATCAGTGCACTGGAAAAAAGGCCCTTCTAGCCTTCATACAGGAATTCTTATGAAACTAACCAAATGTATTGATTTATACTCAAAGAATTTCCGGTACCCAGTTGTAGGGAAAACAAGAATAGACACACTGCCTACCCAAAAGCATGTCGTAAGAGTCGACTAATTGGAAGTTTCCTTTAAAGTCGTAGTGCATCTGCCTGAGATTCAAGGAACCAGCAGTCTGCATAAAAATGAGTCGGATCTGTAAAACGGATGCACACGTAACACTTAGGTTCTGGAACAGGACTGCAGTCTAGAAGTGGATAAACAATCAGAACTTTTCGCCGAGTTTACAGCTGGCGAACATGAAGAAGAATACTCATAGAAAGTAAAGAGTAGGAGAAATAGATGCACCCATTAAACAACACAAAAATGTAAACTATACGGGAATCGAACCTGTCACCTCCAAATGTTGTCTCGTATGTCCTTTTGTCTTATTGTCCTGTTGCGCCATTATATGTCACATAGGGCTCACAGTCGATTCCTGCATTTTATTATATCCTATGGAATCCCTTTGAAGTCAGGAATGGAATCCACCCAGTCCAGCACTGTTGGCCTCTGTTATCAACGGTCGTTTGAGGGGGCGGAGCGGTGGACGTCCCCCTGTCGTCAATTTCTTAATTTCCCATTCTAGTGCCTGTCTGTTGATGATCTGCTGGTTTCTTCTCAGGCTGTATCCACTATACCGCCATCTACCCTTGTCTTGTAACTGTTGTTATCAGTGGTTGCCTAATCCTTTCTCTTATTTCTTCACTCCCTCTGCTCCAACTTTCTACTCCTTTCTATGAGTGACAGTCAACACTATAGGTGGTAAAAGCAATACAAAACACTAACAACAATTCAACAACAACGAATAAGGTGTCTGGTTGAAAAAATCTCCCATCAGCCGTTGCGTGTCATATTTTGAATTCTGGGCACACTGTAAACAATGAAGATGCCTTTCGAATTATTTGCACTTCAGCTAACCGTAGATTACTGAGAGTTGTGGAAGCAACCGCTATAAACCGGTTCAGTCCAGAATTATGCAGACAAAAGGAAATGCTCTTTACCTTGCGTTTACCCTGGGGGAAACAGACAGTTTTTGAGTGTAGTCGATTTTGTGTTTCAGTTCCAAGGATTCATTTATTTGCTTCATTGTAATCATTTGTTACTGTGGTATGGACCTGACGAGATACGGCGAAATACGCTAGGAAATGACTCGTGCAATCTATTGTTTGTGTCTTCTTTGCTCAAATTTTTTAATTTTTTTTTCTTTTCAATTTTATAACTTAAGTAAATTTGAAGGAGCGTGCGTATGGGCATACAAAGCTACACATAATGTGTCGTTACTTGGTGGGTGAGGTAGTCACAATCACGCCGGCCGCCTTTACTTCCCAGGACTTTACATGCTACCCACTCAAGGCTGTATCTACCTGGGAAACAAGGTCATTATTTAAAAAAAAAAAACGTTTGCTCCTGTTCGGACTCGAACACCCACAATCTGCAGATCCACAGGCAAGCTCTAGCTGCTACACCTCGGCAACTCTCTGTTTACTGCATACTTGTTGTTGGTGTTTTGTTTTATTTTCTTGTCAAGCTAATCAGTTTTCAACTGAATTTGTTTCTCTTAATCCATTGACTCATTGTTTCCCAGGAATTCCATGTGATAGATGGGCGGATTAAGCAGACGAAAATCGCCCTTCCCCCGCCTCCATTTAACATTACCATTGTCAAAGGTAAACTGTTGTGCATTTCTCAATCCTGTTCCCGTTGTACGAAATATACTTGGCAAATTAACACACATACACACTTTCTCTCTCAGACACACACGTATGCATCCGTCCACTCTTGTAGTCACTACCTCGCTCATTTTCACTCTGTCTCTTTGTCTATCCGTCTAGCCTATCTGTCTTTATTTCTGTCTATCTATTGCGCTCATTTTCCCAAGAGTTATCGCAATTACTTCGTTTCACTGTAGTTAGAAATGTACACATTCCCGTACTTGTTGTGAAAATTATGATGCTAGATAATGTGAGACCTGGACACTTACTAAACAAGCGGAACAGCGCATAAATGCATTTGAATATAAATGTTACAGACAGGTTCTAAGAATATCTTGGGTAAAGAAAAGAACAAATGCATCCATACTTCAAGAGCTGAATATTGAAGAGGGTTGGCTAGTAAAGACAATAAAACAAAGAAAATTGAAATATTTTGGTCACTTGAAACGTCATGGAAGTCTAGAGAAAACAATAATGGAGGGTATATGCCTGGGAAGAGAGGAAGAGGAAGGCCAAGGAGAAGATGGTTGCAGGATGTGGCAGATGATCTCCAGATGGGTGTATCAGACGCAGGACATCTTGCTCAGGATAGGAAGGTTTTCCGGAGGGTTGTTTAGGCAGCGAGGTTCCGCGAGGGACATGCTACTGAATGAATGAGATAATGTTTGTTTACTATTACTTGATGTATGAATGAAATGATGTATGAAAGAAAGGAGAATAGAAGGGCAGAATGGTAGCGGGCCCACATGCCTAATTCTTAACAATTGGAAGTTTGTTCCTTCGTTCGTTTGTTCGTTTGTTCGTTCATTCGTTTGTACACACACATTCTCTCTCTCTCCCACAGAGACCCACACATTTACACTTTTGCTGTAAACTCCGGTGGAAAGTTTTGGTTGTTCGTCCACTGTTGACTTGTCTTGTTCTGGGACTAGAATGATGCGTGCATATCCGTTTTAAAAATCTAGCTTATTTGTATGCAGATTGTTGGTTCCTTGCCTCTCAGGTAGATACACTCCGACTTCGAAGGAAGTCCCGAATTAGTCGACTCTTACGACATGCTTGTTGAGGAGACAGTGGGTCTATTCTTGTTCTCACCACAATGTGTCCCCGGAACCCACACGGGGATGTCAGTATACTAATTATAATTCTATTCTTCATTGTTCACCTTTTTTTTCTGTATACTGCACTTTGAAGTTTACTATAAGTTATTTAGAACGTAACACTAACAAATATGTCAGAGACAACATAATCAAATTTGCGGGACATCAGGAGCCTCTACTGGCAGTGATGAAACGTCGCAAGCTAGCTTGGTTTGACACGTGGTGAGACATGATTCGATTGCAAAGACTGTACATCAAGGAAAACTGGGGTGGGGGGGGGGGGTGGTCGAAGAAAAGGAAGGCAAAGAAGAAACAAGAATGGCAACAATAGGAAATGGACAGGACTAAGTTATCATACACTTGTTAACAGGCGGAAGACAGAAAGATGTCGGATTTAGTAGATTTTTACCCCACTAGGACATCACACAAGCGTTAAACATCCGATGACACAAAGTGCCACCATGTGAATGAGGATCACCGGTGGAGAGGTCCCAGAAACCACGTTCAGCCATTAGATCATATTTCTGGTCAGGCTATATTGCGGCCCCTGGCAAGAGCCAGGGTGGGGCTTAAAAATAACGAAAAATTGCATCTAGCAAGGAGATGACAGGACAATTTCTTTGAAAGATGGCAGGTTTTGTGTGTCAGTGCTTCCATTGATACACCTCCACGACCTTAACGGGTCAAGAGTTATGCTATATTATGTTATAGCTACCATTTTTCCAACTCACGTGTAAAACGCGTGCTTCAGGTCAGGCCTACAATACGTTCAGTCGAGCTTTTTTGGAGTGGGTGTTTACAGATGAGAAACCTCGAGCCCTCCTGGAGTGGTGCAACAAAACGTACAGCCCAGATGAGCACTATTGGGCCTCATTGAATGACCTCTACCACAACGCATTCCTGGAGTCACCGGGCGGGTTTAAAGGCAAGCAACTCTAGTAGCATTTTTTTTTAGTAATTTCGTGTTTGTAATGTTGCTTCCCTTGGAAACGTAATTTATCCGTATTTTCTTTGAATTTTAGCAGGAGAGAGAGAGAGAGAGAGAGAGAGAGAGAGAGAGAGAGAGAGAGAGAGAGAGAGAGAGAGAGAGAGAGAGAGAAAGAGAGAGAGAGAGAGAGAGAGAGAGGGCGGGGGAGGGAGGGAGGTAGATAGAGGGAGGGAGAGAGAAAGAGAAAAAGAGAGAGAGGAGACAGAGGCAATGCCGAATAAGCTGTGACTGACTGACTTACTTTCTACCCCACCAGGACATCACACAAGTGATAAACATCCGATGACACAAAGTGCCACCATGCGGATGAGGTTCGCCGTGGAGAGGTCCCAGAAACCGCGTTCAGACATTTGGCCATATGTATGGCCTGCCTATATTGCGGCCCCTGGCAAAAGCCAGAGTAGGGCTTCAAATGACAAAAAATTTCCTCCTAAAAAGGACGAAATTGAATATTAACACTAATATAAGCTGTGAAGGACCTGAAGTGAGTTGTACAAAATGACCAATGGTTCCAGATGGAGGAGAAGAATAAGAAGAAAACCACAACAAAACCAACAACAACAACGAGAAGGAAGCTGTTTCTCTTGAAGAATTTATATATCTTCCATCTGTTATTATAAAACCAAAATGTGTAAATTTGTTGATTTTCTCTATTACTGGATTGTTCTGTATTCTTCTTCTTGTTCACCAGTTGTTATTTCATGCAGAAAGCTCTGTCTGTTCATTCACTTCTGCATTTGAGTCTTGCTCCAAAACCTGAGTTTTGCTTACGCATTCTCTTTATTGATCTGGCTCAAGAACTGTCTCCATCTAAAATAAACATAACTTTTAAACCATAGTGTCAAGTGAAGAGTCTTTGGTTCATAGAGTTTGACATACAACGTTAAATTTATATTGTCATTCCTTGGGGGGGATGCAATTTTTCGTTATTTGAAGCCCTACTCTGGCTCTTGTCAGGGGCCGCAATATAGCTCGACCATAAATATGGTCTAATGGCTGAACGCGGTTTCTGGGTACTCTTACGGGTGATCCTCATCCACATGGTGGCACTTTGTGTCATCGGGTGTTTATCACTTGTGTGATGTCCAAGTGGGGTAAAAATCTACTACTACTGTTAAATTTATGAGCAAATTAACTCTCTCTCTCTCTCTCTCTCTCTCTCTCTCTCTCTCTCTCTCTCTCTCTCTCTCTCTCTCTCTCTCTCTTTCTTGTTGTAACCCCACCAGGACATCACACAAGCGATAAACACCCAGGGACACAAAGTGCCACCATATGGATGAGGATCTTCCGTCGAGAGGTCCCAGAAACACCTTTCAGCCGTTATGGCCACATTCATGACCCGGCTATTTTCAGGCCCCCCGGAAAAAGACAGGGTGGGGCTTCATATAACGAAAAATTGCATCCCACATGGGGACGACTGTATAAGCAAATTTTTGATTAAATCATCTTTAATAGTTTTGAAACATCTTGGTAAATGTTGTGTATTATCTAATCTCGTCATTCCCTTGTGGGATGCATTTTTAGCTATTTTGGAGCCCTACCCTGGAGATTCCATGGGGGGGGGGGGGGGCGTTATAAATATAACCGGGCCTGAAATATGGCCAAACGGCTAAACAGGGTTTCTGGGACCTCTCCACGGGTGATCCTCATCCGCATGGTGGCACTTTGTGTCACCGGGTGTTTATCGCTTGTGTTATGTCTTGGTGGGGTACAAGTTTCATACATACATATAAATGTTGGGTACAAATTTGGCTATTTTCGGCGTAAAATATGACACGTTCAATCAATTCCCGTGAAAATATGTTGATTTTAGCCACTAAAATCTTCAACTAGTGCGTACCGATAGAAAGCATTGTTTCCAGCAAATATAATCAAATTCAATTATTTGGGGGCTTAACCTGTCCTTAGCGTATCGTTAGCCTGGTTTGGTGACGTCAGCAGCATGGCTCGTCAGATTGAGGCGGTCTTTTCTGGCTCAAATACAATATTTAGACTACTGGTTCCCAACCTCTCAGGTAGATGCACTAGGATTTCGAAGGAAACGTCTCTTATTAGTCGACTTTTATGATATGTTTATTAGGCGGTTATTTAAAGTAGATCTCTATATACAACAATAAAAAGAGACAGACACTGTTCTTCGGTCACATAATGAGAAGACAAACATTGGAGAACGGGAGTCCCCGTGGCGAAGCAGCTAGACGCTCGCCGCGGATCGGAAGGTCGTGGGTTCGTTCCCTGGAGGAGCCGGACTTTTTTCAAAAATGACCTTGGCTCCTAGGTCGACCCAGCCTTGAGTGGGTAACGGGTGCAGTCCCGGGAAGTAGAGGCAGCCGGCGTGATGCTGACCACATCACCCATCTTGTGCCGATTGGTCTATAAAAATATAGGTCTAGCCCTATATGCCTGAAGGAGTGGAAAAGGGTCCTTCACTTTACTACTTTACTTACATCGGAGAACATCGTGACAGCTGGGAAAATCAGTGGAAAAAGTGGTAGAGGCAGACCAAGAGAGATGATGCTGGATGGGCTAAAACGATGGACGAATATCATCAAGAGAGCTGTTCCAGCAACCAGGGATCATGATCTGTGGAGCGCCTACACCAGTTGGCAGGGAACATAATGATGATGATTATTATTAGGGGGTGGTTAATCTATTATCCCCACTAAAACCACTACCAATACAATAAGACCACAGAACACAAAACGGTTTGAAAACATCTTTTATTCATGAATATGGCTATTTTGCTAGAGACTCTAATAACAACAAAAAAAAAATGGATAAAAAAATTACTAAAATTGTCTGTTCTTCTTTTCTATTTGTGCTTTATTAATTCAGGGATGTGTTCATCTGTTGCAGGACACCCCGACAAGAAAGGCTACATCACCCGATTCATTAGCTGGCAGTACACCAATCCTAAGTGGAAATGCCGGGGCAAAATCGTACACAACATTTGCATCTTCTCCGCCCTTGATCTACCCGGCTTGCTACCCGAAATGCATTTGGCAGCTAATAAATTTGACCTGACCCTTGACCCTTTAGCCTACTCGTGCATGGAGGAATTGCTGGAGAATAGGACACGAGCGCACTTACCCTTTAGCCTTCAAGACTATACAAGACTGTATTTTGTGAATTATAAACCCCCCAGTAATACATCCCATTAGGTTCGATAGGGCTATTGGCAGTTTGATTCTATGCCCATCCTGACTTTCCTCTATGCTGACCAGATCCCTTTGAGTGTCATCATCATCAGGTGCCGGGCCGACTGGCGTGGGCGATCATGCCTCTCCATAATCTGCGATCTCCTGCAGCATGTATCAGTTCGTGTGCCGACACACCTCCATGCCATGCAACAAGACTGTCAAGCATCTTCTCTTGTTGTCTTCCTCTATCTCTCCTTCCACATATCTTTCCAGTGGTCACAACATGTTGTATTTTCCCTCTTCTCATAACATGGCCGAAAAAGGATGGCTGTCTCCTTCTGATGTCTGTGATAAGTTGTCTTCGGGCTCCCGCCTTTTTCAAAACCTCTTGAGTGTAGAGTGTCTGTTTAGTGTTGTGTGGTTGTGTGTGTGTGTATGTGTGTGTGTGGGGGGGGTGGTGGGTGGTTGTGTGGGTGTGTGAGGGGAACTGCTGATTGTTGGTCATATAGGTGTGTGTAGGAATAAATATCTCAATTCTAATTTTGTATGTACGAGTATATATATATATATATATATATATATATATATATATATATATATATATATATATATATATATATATATATTAGTGTGTGTTTATGTGAGGCAAGTAGCTGCTTGTTTTTCGTCTCGGTGCCAGTACATATGTGGAAGCATCTTTTGACTGCATCTTTAAGAAACTGTAACCCATATTCATTCATACCTTAATCATCCAACATCCTTGCGTGGGTAATAGGATCCCATTGTGGGGTAAAAAGGACTAGGCCCACTGTGCCCTTAAAGGTTTGTTTCTATATAAAGGGAAATAGTCACTAAATATGGACAGTGCAAGGAACTGATTTCCTTCCCTTTGACCATCTAAAAGCAGTTTTGGTGACTTTGCTACTGTAAGAAGTGTGACTTAATAATGAAACTATGACCTCAGGTTAAATTCAGAATGTAAAAATATATATATATATATATATATATATATATATATATATATATATATATATATATATATATATATATATATATATAAATTGTCCATCCCAAATGATATATTACTTTTTGAATATGGGCCGGGTCCCATTGTGGGGGAAAAACAAATAGACCCACTGCCTCCCCAGCAAGCATGTCGTCAGAACTGACTAACTGGGAGCTTCCTTTTAAGTCGCAGAGCGCCTGTCTCAAAAGCAAGGGACCAACAATCTGCATACAGATACGATTGATCTGTAAAACAGATGTGCACACAACACTAAAGTTTTAGAATAAGACTAAAGTTCAGACTGACTGACTGACTTTCTACCCCACCAGGACATCACACACGCGATAAACACCCGATGACACTAAGTGCCACCATGTGGGGGAGGATCACCATGGAGAGGTCCCAGAAACCGCGTTCAGCCTGTATGACATTTTTATGGCCAGGCTATGTTGCGGCCCCTGGCAAAAGCCAGAGTAGGGCTTCAAATAACGAAAAATTTCGTCCTTAAAAGGACAAAAGTTCAGAGGTAAACAAACAATTGGAACCTTCTGCCAGAGTGTACAGCCATGAACATGAAAAAGAACGAGAATAAGAATGTGCGGACCTTGTTGGGCTGGATGTCACTTATTCATCGAAGCCTTATATAACCATAGGGGGCTGAGTGGTCTCTAGGCATGGCGTCTGCCTTGAGTGCTAGAGGTCCTGGGTTCGGACCCCAGTAAAGGCTAGGATTTTTTTAAATCTGGGCTTCTAGTTTTTTCCCCTGGTCTCTGGGGTAGTAAGATCGAACGCCCGTATATTGCTGCACACATTAAAAAAAAAAAAAAAAAAAAGAGTAGCCTAACGGCACTGCCCTGGCAAAATATGAAGTTAAAAATCTACCTAAAGTATTTCAGGATCCTCGCCAGTGCTACGCAGCTCGTGCACTGCGCTGAGATTCTTCAGACACAGACTTGAGTTAGAAGTGGAACTGAGCGCTGATGGGTTACTACCCATGTGCCATGATAATGATCCGTTGTTCAAACCTCAACCTAAACATAATGTAACTTCTGGTGACTGATGTCCCGTTGATCCATCAATATTTCCAGACCATTCACGAGCACTCGTTTAAAAAAAAAAAAAAAAGTTATATAATGTTGTATGTTAAAAATTTTCCCAGTGTCCAAACATGTTGTCATTAAATGCTTTGATTTGCTAATTATAGTAATGTTTGGGTGCAATTTCTGATGAAAACCTGCATTTTTGCCCAAGTGGACAGGTCTAACGGCACTGCCCGGGCAAACATTCGGAGTTATAAATCTACCCAAAGCATTTCAGGATCCTCGCCGGTACTACGGAGTTCGTGCACCGCACTGAGACACTTCAGACTCAGGCTTGAGTTAGATGTACCCTGATGTTGATCCGTTGAAAAATAATCAATTAGCATACTTACAATTGTCCAAAGACATCATACTTTAACAAGCATGTTGTAACAAGTGACTACGTGTTTGCTGAAACAGGGTCATTAGGCTGAAGGGTGCACATATCGCAGCCTAGCTTAATACAGGCATGCAATGTGTGAACAAGACTTCTTTCCTGTAAGTATGGTCGATAGGCAGGTTAATGTTTTTAGATGTGGGAAGTTTTTGCTTGTGACAGTAGTTAACTGTTGCATTTTACTCCGTATGTAAGGATATAGTTCCATCGCCCAGTTGCTGAGATAAGCCTACATTGCGACATTGTGAGCTGCAGATTTCATGCGGAATGCTTGATGACTGTGCCCAACGTGGTTTGTGTTGTAGACCATGGATTCAGAAAATAGCGAATGGTCTGTTGCTGGATAATTGTTGGTGCCTTATGCAACTAAATGTATGTGCAACTACTGATATATTGTAACTTCCTCTTCCATATACAAAGAATTGCAGTTCTAGTGTCAGATTGTTTGTGTTGGCATTTCTGACAGCTGACTAATGTGTTTATTGCGTGTGTACGTTATTGGTTTTGCTGAAACAGTGATGGACATTTTGTGGCACAGGAACGCAGCAGCTATAGGGTCACGCGCATACTGTGAAGTTTGGACTGCAGTTATATGATAACCTGATTACTACCCAATGTGCCAGTCACCCATTTAAGGTCGAAAACATTAAAGAAAGAGGGAAATTAATCACACGGATGCTGTATCAAAAGATCAGTGAAAATCAAAACCTATTTTTGAATCTGAAGAAAACGAAAATTGTGTCCACAGACAAAACTAGATGTCGCACAAAAATGACAATAAAAGATTTTAAAAAACTGGCAATGTCACAAACATTGAAAATCTAGGCTCTGTAATAAATAGCAATGGAGACTGTTTGACAGAAATAAAAAAAATTGATGGCGATAGCAATGCAAAGATTGGACAGCATTAAAAGTCTATTGTTAAGCACGAGGAAGGAAATCAAAATATAAATTTTGAGAGCATGCATCTTCCCTGTAGCAACATAAATATGTGAGTCGTGGACTATTTCCCAGTCCTTAAGAAAGAAAATAGGGGCTTCTGAGTTGAAATGCAACAGAAAGATTCCCAGAATACCATTGACAATAATAAACAGCATCTTTTCTCGGAAGCTGAAATATTTTGATCACAACAAGCGCCCTGGCGGATGGAGGAAAAAAAAAATAACACCAGAAGGCATGGCACCAGGAAGGAGGGGCAGGCGCTGACCAGCACAAAGATGGGCACATGATACAAGTGACTCCTTGGATATGAAAGTACAAGAGGCGGGAGAGCTGGCGAGAGACAGAGTTCTTTCAGACAGGCCGTGATGAGAGCGACATCCTTGAAAGGACCTGCTACATGATGATACTGCACAAATTGTTTAAATAAACAGACTGCTATCAAAGCGGTGCTGAGATAGACAACGATAGGGCTACGCAGTTGACCATGTATCTTAGTGCACTTGTATTCATGGCGAGGCGCAAACGCCGTCTGGAGGCGACAGGTTCAATTCCCGGCACGGTAACTATAGCTTTCGATTTTTATGTTGTCTAGTGTGTTCTTCTATCTTTCTACTTCTTTTTATGAGTGCCGTTCACAATACTTTCTGTTACTTGATTAATTCACAAATTGTTTAATAAGAATTGTATAAATAGTCGTCTTTCATCCAATGATATTAAAGTGTTTAAACATTAATATCCACAGGTCAGTGGTTATGTCTTGTCTGCATCCATTTGCCAAGCCAAGTAATTTATTCTCTCTTTGTATTTTCGTTTCTCTCGTTCCAACTGTCAGTCATGTCTGTCGTTACCAAGTTCTCGAAAACAGTCCGTCTTATAAGAATTCCGAAAACCATCGACTGTCTACGTTCGATTTCTCTTGGTTCTAGTTTGTCTAGAGCAGAACTACCTTGATTGTTTTTCTATCATATGTGTAACATTCGTAATACTGCTCTCATTGCAGCCGAATCTAACCGTGAAATTCTGGCCGGAGAAGAACACACAAAAAAGATGCATGAGTCTGTCACAAGAAGTCCTCCCAGCAAAGTCCGGACATTTGCACATACCATTTTGGATACAATTTCTAGCCCAGCGGGTGTATTGCAACTCCCAACTAGTAATACAGTGGAGCTCCAATATTCGTCATTAATCTTTTCCTGAGGGCTGATGAGTTTTGAAATAGACGAATATCAAATGAAGTTTTCGATGAAAACTAATCAATCCGTTCCCAGCTCTTTGATCTGGCATGCGTGCCACATGACCAGCCTGTGATCTGGCATGCGTGCCACACGACCAGCCCAACGAATTTGATACTGCATCAGTAGAGTGTGGATGCTGGGAATGGCTGCTTTCTCAAGGACTACGGTATCAGGTACTTTGTCTTGCCATCTGATCTGCATTTGTTTTCTAAAGTAGACTGTGTAAAAGTGGTTTAGCTTTCTAGCATGGCGCTGGTAGTCCATGTTTCGCATGCGTACAGCAGTGTAGTTAATACAACTGCTTTGTATACTTTAAGCTTTGTCTGCAGGGTTATGCCACTTCTGTTCCAAACATTTTTGTG